CTCCCCCCCCCCCACCCCAACCCCGGAAAAATTCTCCAAAAAAAAAAAAAAAAAAGGACGTCTAATTCTACTTTTCGACCCGAACGCCCAGGTCCGAGGTTTCTCACCTGAGCAGAGCAGAGACGTACATAGAAACCCATCAGTGTATTTGCAAGTTCTTTTCTTCACGGAGCAAACAACAACAACAACAAAAAAAAATATATATATATATATAAAAACAGTCATGTAGTCCTTTTGTATCTTTGCAGAACTGTGATTAAAAAAAGAAAAAGAAAAAAGAAGCAACCTTTAATGTATCTATTGGAGATGTCCACATGCAGAAGAGATTGTTCGGAGATTTTCCTCTTTCTCTCTATCTCTGTCTCTCTCTCTCTTTCTCTTTCTTTTATTTTATTTATTTATTTTTTTTTTTTCATGCAGTTGATTTTCCTTGGTATTGGCAACGTGCTGGCATCAAAGAATATCAGTTTACATATACAGTATTAATAAAGTGTAATAAAATCCCACCAAAGGACATTATCAATGTTCAGGTTTTTTTTTTTTTCTGTTTTTTGTTTTTTTTTTGTTATTGCTTTAACAGGAGAATTTAAGTGAATAAAAGTTTGAAAATTATAGTCTGTTTATCACGTGTCACACTTATATGGGCTTCACTTCCTGTTTCATCCCCCAGTGTTTCATCATACAGAATTTTTGTTATGGTTCCACTTTTGTTTTTATTTTTTTTTTATTTATTTTTTTTTATGTCATGTCAATATACGAGATTGTCTTTTTCATTACTTTATATATCATTTTACAGTTTTTAATACAAACATCCATAAGACATGAGTTCCCCACATGTTGATAACTGTGTTGAAATCCATTTGGTAAATCGAGATGTTTGTCTTGAGGTTCTCCGAAAAAGAAAACGTGAAATGTGATTTTCTTTTTTTTTCCCAACATATTCTGTCATCCTGAGCCATTCCCACAATGCATCATGCCTCCATACTGACAAGTCAGCTAAACCAATGCTGTATGTGATCATTGGAACCGAACCCCCTGACAAGGCTTCGCTGACAAAATGATGGCATGAAAAGTCGGTAGTGATATTTCCGTGCTATTTATCTTGAATTTAATCTGGCGGAGATTTGTTTCAGTGTCGTGCATTGTCGGAGGCACTGAATTAATTATTTACAACTATTGATGTCTCCCAGGGAGCCCGGGCTCAAAGTTTATATAGTGGCTCTTGTCAGACGGCCGACAGTTCATCCATAACCTGAAATATTGAAGGCCGACTTTGGCTCGACATGGTCCTGTTTCCAAAGTTTGTCTCAAAACAAGTCGAATAACTTATAAAGAGACCAATGTGTTTAATTCGGGGGGGGAAGAGAATTTAAGTTTAGAGGATTGTTCCTAACAAATACTTCAATAATAATTCTTCATAATTTTGTTGTTCTTATTCTCGACGTTGCCCTAACGCTATTGTAAATCATTCAACCAGTTTGAATTACGAGTCCGACCAGTCCCTCGATGACAGACGTTCGTACTCGAATCAAACGACACATTCTCAGCTAGCTTCGGTAGACTTCGGTGATTCACGGAGGTACTAGATTAGAACACTTCCAAATGCGTCCGACTCTGGGGGACGTCCTGGTGAATTCACTCAAAGTCACTTGTTTGTCAAGGTCTCCTGCCGTGGCTTTTTTAAATTTAACCATGTATTTTGCCCAGGTGTCAACATGCAATAGCGTCGCTGTTGTTTGGGGGAAGGGACTGTATCCTTGATTCCTCACCCCCCGGCTCTGTGGGCTCCCCCATGAAGAACATGGACGGTCACTGGACGACCACCGTCATTTGTGTCATTTGGAAGTGGGGGTTTCGCATGATTGTGTGTTGGTGGGAGGGTTTTATAATTAGTTTTATATATATTTATGTATAGATGTATATATATGTGTGTGTGTGTTAAAGGATGTTATACTGAAATTTATAAAATAGAAATAACTGATGTATTAATAGTAACATATCCTAAGTCTATGTTTGTATGTATATATAGGATATATAACTATATCCTATATATACATAAATATATATGTAAATATATATTTGTATGTGCAAATAGGATATATAACTATCCTATAGATACAAATATATATATATAAATATATCTAAATATATATTTGTATGTACATATAGGATATATTACTATATCCTATATGTACATAAACTGCCACTGCCATTTTGTGATACAAATGTACGTATAAATATATGCACAATATATCAACACGCTAGGATTTTTCTCAAAACTAACAATTTCTAATATGGCTAGTATTTTCTAACATGTTTGAAAATAAATATATAATTTTACATACAGGCTTACAATTAACTGACTGTTTCTGTATTTTTCCCCCGACAGTTACAGAGAAAATGGTCGGCCACGGTGTGATCGGAGTAAGATCGGTGACCGTCAACACCGGGCGAAGGTGTGTGTAGTTTCTCTTTTCTATGGCCGATCCTATGCGAGAGTACACGTAGTACAAGCCCACGCTGTCTTACTGTACATGAGGTCAGCGGGAGAATTATTGACCTTGGCCTAACACCCTGATTCCCCCGCTTAACTGTACGTGTGATGTGTTTGTTCGCGCGATGATCAATGCGCTTATCGAACGACACGCGGCTCCCATTGATCACTGTTTCTTCATCCTGCAGCGGGGCCTGAGTGGTCAGTACTTTTCCTTTCATCGCTCGCTTCTCTCTGCCCTGTAAAGCACAGTAGTACAGTATCTGTCCATTAACGTGGACTAAAGCTGCTGCACAGCCAGAAGCTCACAGTTCCTGACCGCAACTGTTAAACTTCTATGCTGTTTTTTTTTTTTTTTTTTTTTTTCGCCCAGACCACGTTTTTAGTTTCACATCACGCTGCTGTAAGTGTAACACCACGTTTTTACTTTCACATCACGCTGCTGTAAGTGTAACACTTTAGTATATTTTCAGATTTTTTTTTAAAAAGAAACCTCATAGCGGGGGTGTCAAACATACGGCGCGCGGGCCAAAAGCAGTCCGCTGGAGGGGGTCAAGCTGGCCCACTTGATGAATTTTGAAACGCTTCGTGTTCGTGGTGTTTTGTCAAATTGCATTTTGTTAAATATGAATATTTTCTAATATACATGTACTTCTTTGCAGGGAAAATAAAGGTGGAAAAACAGGGACTTGCAGGTAATTATGTCTATAATTAAGAAAACTGTCTGTTCTCAAAGAAACATTTGTCACACGATCGCAGCTTTTTGATTCACTTTTATTAAAATTGACAGCTTCTTCTTTGCGAACGGTCAAAATGCATTCGAGCGTAGTGATAGGTGAGAGTCTCTGTAGTCTTTTAGTTAAACGTACAAAGTGGACATGACAACAAAACATGACTCGGATTGAACCAAATAAATATTAATGAACGCTGGAGCATTCGATATTATGATAAATCCTCGCAGTGGCATCTCTAGAGACTTGGAGAATAAATATAGCCTGTCTTTATAGAGTGATCCTGCTGTACATGGGAGATCAATCCTCCACTGTGGAATTTGCTAGACAATAACAAACACTGCAATTGTGAGTGTATGGCGATCAATTGGCGTCATACGATATGCATTCCTTTTCCTATTTCCTGCTCAGTCTGTTTTAATTGATACTTCATAATGAGTTACAGTAGATCTGGAGTATAAATCGGGGACAATATAGGAATAAATCCTGCTTCTGATTCTATATCAGAGACTTACATGTGTCAATTTTTTGCCAAGACACCTTTAAAACAGCATTAGCTTATAATGCTAAAAAAATCTTCTAAAATGCTAAAAAAAAAAATATGTAAAGAAACGTCAACTTTTATAATTTATATTTATATTTTTATAATATTCTTACTTATATTCATTATTTTAAAAGATTTTTTTTTTTTTTTAGCTTAAGAAAATTATTAACAAATCTGTACTGTACTTCTAGTACTGAAATAGTAAAGTGCCAGGTCTACCTTCCCTCCAATTTTCTGAGGTCCCCCTAGTGCCCCATGGCGGCCCTCCAAGGGGACCAAGGCCCCCACTTTGAAAACCATTTTGCTAGATTTTGCTAGATTTCACTGACCTTTGACATAAGGGTTTAAAACTAGCATGGGTAAATTAATATTATTGATTTAGTTGCCATGGTAATGATAATCTAAGCAGTTTGACAGGCGGGTCACGTCGGTATCAGATGGATGGACATCCCCAAAATATATTTATTGTTATTGGTCTTGCAATAACTGTATGACCCCCAAGAGGGGCCTGCCCCTCACTTTGAGAACCACTATTGTCAATACCTGTGGTATTATCAGGAACTGTCGGATTATTTAAACCAGATGCCCCGTTGTATTTCAAAACTCAAGTTTCAAAATAAAAGCCCAAGATAAATAGAGAATGTGAGGTTTTTAAAGTTAGCTAGATGATTTAATTTTCTTAAGTTTAATTATACTAAAAATTCAATTTTGATTGACTTGACAATTATATTCACTGAGAAATGCGTGGAAAAGAACAGAACAGAACAGAACAGAACTGTTGGCCTGTAGGGATTTTCACTGTGAAACTTGTTGAGAACAGATGAAGTCATTCAGTCTCACACTTCACCCAGTGTCAACGTTAAAAATAAAATAAAGGTCACCAGTGGTTGGAGTCAAAGTAACACCTTCTCTTGACATGTTTTCCCTTTTGTGTGTGTATGTGTTATCGTCACACACTCCAGAGCTCTGGTGGTACAACCGCAGCATCGGCGCTGATCGCCTCAACAAATGCCAAGTCACAAAGTTGAAACCAGACGGTTGTTTCCCCCGTGTCAACCCTGTCCTCGCGCTCTCACCTGTGTCAAGCTAAAAGAAAGAAAGACTGATTCGAAAGTGAGTATTTGGTTTTATTTGTCATAATTGTCACTCTGAGGTGGATTTCCATTGGTGCAACAGGTTTTTGGTTCTTCACGTCAGGCGCAGACACATTAGCTGTTCACGCTCTGCGTTGTACTTGTAGGACCAGCGACAGCTGTCTCTTCTGTCGCAAATAGATTCTGCACTACGCCGATGGCAAAACACCTGCCGCGCATGAACGGTCTCACACACACACGGGGCTCGCGGCATTTGCGTGCTGCGAACCGCTCGCAGGAAAAGGCACCAGGTTTTCAAAATCGCAAATTAAAAGTCAGTCACTGAGACAAACTTGTCAGCCCGTCTCGCTGATGTTTTCATACGCGGGGGCGAAGTCGGCGAAACAGTTCCACGATTTTATTGGGGATTCTACTCGCAGGTGTTACAGATGGAAGTAATGCAGCGCTTGGCAGAATGACAATTTATATACATACATATATGTATGTGTTTATGTATATTTATATATACATATATGTATGTATAAATACATATATGTATGTGTGTAATGTGACTGCAAGGAAGCTACAGATTGAGGCGGGGAATCAAATTGCCCCTTTATTATTAGCCTACAAAGTACATTTACATATATATTTACGAATACATATATGTAATGTATGTATGTATATATATATTTATGTATGTATGTAATGTGACTGTAAGAAAGCTACAGATTGAGTCAGGGAATCAAATTGCCCCTTTATTATTAGCCTACAAAGTACACATAAATAGATATACAGTATAAATACATATATGTATGTATATATATATTTATATATGTATAAAAGGTGACTGTAAGAAAGCTACTGATTGAGTCAGGGAATCAAATTGCCCCTTTATTATTAGCCTACAAAGAACACACACACATATATATATATATATATATATATATACATATATGAAATGTATGTATATATATTTATATATGTATAAAAGGTGACTGTAAGAAAGCTACAGATTGAGGCGGGGAATCAAATTGCCCCTTTATTATTAGCCTACAAAGTACACATAAATACATATATAAATACATATATGTAATGTATGTATATATATTTATAGATGTATAAAATGTGACTCTAAGAAAGCTACAGATTGAGGCAGGGAATCAAAATGCCCCTTTGTTATTAGCCTACAAGTACATATATACTTATATAAAAACATATATGTAATGTATATATATATATTTATAGATGTATAAAATGTGACTCTAAGAAAGCTACAGATTGAGGCAGGGAATCAAAATGCCCCTTTGTTATTAGCCTACAAGTACATATATACTTATATAAAAACATATATGTAATGTATGTATATATATTTATAGATGTATAAAATGTGACTCTAAGAAAGCTACAGATTGAGGCAGGGAATCAAATTTCCCCTTTATTATTAGCCTACAAAGAACACACACATATATATATACATATATGTAATGTATGTGTATATATTTGTATATGTATAGAATGTGACTGTAAGAAAGCTACAGATTGAGGCAGGGAATGAAATCGCAGCTCTATTATTAGCCCACCAAGTGACTAAGAGGCTAATTCCTGCGTTCTTTGTAACTGTCTGAATACGTGACGTAGCGAGAGATGCCTCGCCGCTAACCGAGCCAAGATGATCATCTGTGTCATCATTATCACAACATTCCTTCGTCGTTTCTGTTGTCGCTTGGAAAACAAAACACAATATACGGTAACGTCTTTGCGCCGACGATAAAGACGGATTCACCAGCTGTATTGTTGGTCCAGTTCTGCTAATGGGAATAGCTCGACAAAAAACTCTGGCCTCAAATCAAACGAATCCATTTATTGGACGCCAATGAGACAAATACAGCCAGAAGTTCCTTGGCCTAGCAGCTAGAGATCTGGGAAACCTCCAGGGTTTGGAAAGCGTGGTGTGCTGGTTGGCAGTTGTTACTGTGAAAAAAAATAAATGAATACATCTACAAGAATTAAGACACAATTCTGGTCAATTCCAACATATAGCTTGGCTAATGTAGGTCCCTAAGGTACTGCGACTATATATGAGAAGGAGGACATGTGAACGGACGCGACTAAAGCAGTCGGGCATATTGCGAAAAACACAGCAAAGCAGATGCAAACCAACAGTAGCTGGACAAACTCAAACATGGCTTAAATATCGTGACAAGAGCAATGCAACATTAGCAGATTCAGCCCTGCTAGAGCGCTGCCAAAAAAAAAGTTTTGGATTTGAGGGTAGGACTACATATACTATCCAGTTATCCATGGGAAGCACAGTTACAATTCATCTTTTGACCACACGGTGGCGGTAATGCATCAGTCAGTTCTTTTGTAAGTTCCAATATACAGAGAAGGAGTGTTTTCTTTTCTATGCTAGCCGTAGCAAAAACATTTTTAAAACAAAGAAAATGAAGATGGATGTCGTACGTAGAGTCCTCCTTCATTTTTGCGTGACCAATCAAATTTGGCTTTTTGCTGTTTTATCCTTGGTTAGAAATCAAACTGCAAGCGAGGTGAATTAAACCTAAACAACTATACTATAATAATTGAGCCTCAAGGTCAAAAAAAGGTCAAGAAGTTATTTTTTTTCGTAAACTTGTCGTTTCTGTCAGACTTCAACTTTGAATCTGACTAGCATGAACTCGAACAGAATGGGAAGGCACGATATTAAAGGTATTGAAAAATGAATTCGACATTCATGTTGCATTGCATTTGTATTGATATTTTGAGCAATTTTCTTTCTTTCTTTTTTTTTTCAATCGCATGTCCAATCATTAGTACATTATGAGGGGTGGTGGACGTGTCAGTGAAAAATAAAGAAACATGACACAAGCGTTGATGTTGTAGAGAAGTGTCCCAAGCTTTAACCTCTAAAACCCGTCGTAAAGACGAGAAGCTGCTGCATGTTTGGCCTCTGTACTGCATGTGTCCTTCTGCGTCCCATGGTTCAGCCTGTTCAAGAGGATGCAGTTGCTAACCTAGTTTGTTTCCTAGGAAGAGCTTCATTAAGGAGCCACAGAAAAATACCTTTTTTGCTATCGTGTATCCCCAAGGACACAGACAGGTGTGTGTGACTGAAAATCATTATGCATGGCGTGTTTGCACAGCTTTGGTTAAGTGTGACAGAGGTGATGAAAATATTAATATATTTTTACATTTGCCGTCACGCTGGTTATTATATCCTATTTTAAGGTGAAGACCGTGATATTCATTTTTGACGAGACCCGACCTGGATTAAGGCCTTTGACATCATTCGTATGTTCAGGCCTTATTTGTTTGGGGAAAAATATTTTATATTTATGTTCACGTGTTTACTTCTTGAAGTTCTCACGTTGTGTCAGCATCTGTTAAATATAAACATTTGAAGTACAAACAAAATCACTGCAAAATGGTGCGTAAAGACATCAGTCTGTCTGCTGAACAGGCATTATTAGATTAGATTAGATTACATTACATTATACTAGATTAGATAACATTACATTACATTACATTACATTACATTACCTTAGATTAGATTAGATTACTTTAGATTAGATTACATTAGATGACATTACAATACATTACATTAGACTACATTAGATTAGATTACATTACATTAGATGGCATTACATTAAACAACATTAGATTAGATTAGATTAGATTAGATTAGATTAGATTAGAATAGATCAGATTAAATTAAATGAGATTAGATATATGTAAAGACAATAAAACATTATTTTAAATTTAAAATGAGTACTTATAAAATACAAAATGTGTATATTTAATCAATAATATTTTTATGTATTGTTATGTATATGCAGTTTAAAGAAAAAGGTTTTTTTCGCTATAGCTGTGCCCCAGTTCCTCTGTGGAACCTACACTTTCAGCATATATTTATACATATATATGTATATATTTATATATATTTGTATATATGCTGAAAGTGTATTATGGTCTTCGCCTTAAAATAGCATATAATAACCAGCGTTTCAGGAAAGGTAAAAATATATGAATATTTTCATCACATATATGTATATATGTTTGTGTATAGATATGATAATAATAATTTAATCTTTTAATGTTTTTACACTGGAAAATATTTCCATCAAAATATGATACAAATGGTGACTAATAGTAGGATGAAGAAATTGGTAGAAAAAGTTTTATTTCTAAAAAAAAAAAAAGAAGTGCCGCGTTCTCACGGCTGCCGACTACGTTCCCCCAACACATCCTTAAAAAACACTGTGTTCTGCAAAACATGGCACAGTACGTCCACTACAACCTTGAACGGCGAGGGTGATGGATGTTTGGGATAAAAACGTTTATTCACATACAGTACTGCTGAAGTCTGGAAAATACCGAGAAGCCAAATTAGCGTCGAGAAAAAAAAACAAATCATGGACATTACCACTTGAAAGAGTCCGGAATGTGAAAATGGCGTGTTGATTTGCATATGACCTTGGGAGGGTGTGTTTGTGTGTGAGACACAAAGGTGATCCTCCGTGTGCACATCTAATCAGACAGCTTGATTAAAGCCATCCTCACTTCCTGTTTCACACCGGGGCTTTTCAGCACTGCGGTGTCAACAGTCACTCATTTAGAAATGATTCGAGAGTCCACACCTTTTTTTATTTTATAGCTTTCCTGCTGTTTAAAAACTGACCAATTACCGTAATTTCCGGACTATTATGCGCACCTGAATATAGGCCGCACTTCTCTATAAGTCTGGTTACACGTTAGCTCTTACCTGCTTCGGCGCCCCGACCGTAGTTGGAATGCACAGGAGAGACTTAGTGATCTGCCCCAGGGCTGAAGCTAACATTAGCCCCGGGGCTAACTCCCTTCACTTTGTACTTTGTCTGCAGCAGAGGTAAACAGAAACAGGGAAGTTGGGGTCTTTATTATCAGCCACACCGAGCACAACAGTACATATACGCACACAGACATACGCTATTAGCATAAAACACAGTTGCCTACCAGAAATGTCATTGATCGCTAGCTGCTATTAGCATAAAACACAGTAGCCTACCAGAAATGTCATTGATCGCTAGCGGTATGAACTTCGTTAGCCTGTAAAAATCCATAAATTAGGCGCATCATTGTTTAAGCCGCAGGGTTGAAAGCGTGTGGAAAAAGTAGCGGCTTATAGTCCGGGAAATTACGGTACTCATTATAAGTAATGTTATTTCAATGTGTAAAGGTTAAGGTTACAGTCACGGATGCTTTGATTAGCCCACAGGACATGCTATAACACTAGCGTATTAAATTCCCCCTTTCTTTTCTGACTCATGATCTCACTCTGTCTCTTTTTTTCTTCTTTTTTTTTTTTTTCTCACTCCGTCTCTCATTCACTCAAATTCTCCACCTTTGGTAATTTGGCTCAAGTTCATCTCATCGCCTAACAAATTCCTTTGGAAAGTGGAAAAATGACATTTTGGGTCGGGGACTTCAAGGATGGTCAAGTTAATGAATGGCCACCAGATGGCCCTTATTAGGCTAATGTGTTCCTCCTCTCTTCAGCCCTAGCGCTCACCTGGGGACTCGCTGGCTGCGAGTGTGTGTATGTGTGTTTTTTGAGTTAAATCAGGCTAACCTCAGGCGATGAAAGGACGCGGCGTCTCTTCTTAGCACAGTTGCTGTGTTTTTTTTTTTTGATGGTGTCAACTGTCCACTGTGGGAGACACTGTTAAAGGGCCGCAGCTGCCTTTGCTTCTCCTGGAAGCCTGGCCACCCCTCCTTCCCTCCACTTCCCCCCCCCCTGATCTGACAGCCTGAAATCGGCCGCTCCCGTCACCGAGTCCTGAGTCCAGGAAAAAAAACCCCATCCAGTTTGACGGCATGTTAATTGCCTCATTTATAATCCCCGCTCCTTTAAAAAATGAATCATTTTCGCGATGCTCACATTCTCGACAGAGACCTTCGTTAAACGGCACAAATCACGCTACAAATGGTAATTAATCGAGTTTCATTTATTAGATGGTTTCCCCGCTGTACGTTTCCGTCAGCGAGTGTTGTAGCTACAAGGCAGCGGAGCAGAGCCGTCAACTCCGTTTTTCAAACGAGGCCCCCGGAAAGCGGCTCAACAAGTTTCCTGGAGGCTTCCTCGTCCTCTCTGCAGCAGCTGCTGAGGGTCTTTGTGTCTCACAAACCCGTGGATGACATCACATCTCACATCATATCTAAATTATGATAGCATATTTTTGTATCGATCTGTATGATTCGCTTATTTCTGCCATAGCCTTCATGCATTTTTAAGAGTAACATACTACAATCTGACTTTTTTTAAAAGCACCTGTTCAATTCTAATTCTAATCTTCTTATCAAATATAGGGGGCGTGGCCACCTTGAGGGCACGGAGACATTTCAAGTAGGAGCGCAGCAGGTAAAAAAAAAATTTTTTTTTTTTTAATTTTGCATTGTGTAAATCACTAGTAATTTAGTGAGAATAATTGTTTTTGGGGATTGCAGTGTCCATGTCTAACCATAAGGGGGCACACGTTTCTGCTGGGCACACGTTTCAGCAGATTACATGTAACCTTTTAGGTGGGCTGGCACAACTCGTCGTCCGTTGCTAGTGTCTCCTTTGGTGTATTGAAGCATTTTAAACATCTGTTTGACACATTACCGCCACCTAGTGGCTATGACTGGATTCTTTTTTTAATGCAGTAAATTATTAAAACTGAAGTAGATTTTTTATTGTGTCCCTTTGTGGCCTGGTACCGTATAACCTACGGACCAGTACCGGTCCCCAGACCAGGGGTTGGGGACCCCTGCTCTAGGTGGTGCTAGTGGTCCAACTGTGGGCTTCTTCTTCTGTTACTCCATCTTCATCACCATTTAACTGCACCTGCTGATATACGCTGTTGTTTGTGATATCCAAAATAATCACAGACCCACTAGATCCTAATTTAAAGTCTTTGTTTAAGTTGACAATATGTGTCACTCGCTGAGTGAAAGTCGACTTTTTTCGCGACATTAGCGAAGAGATAACCACATAACCAGTGAGTATTGTTGAACGAACATCTTTAAAAGGACACATTAGAGGACTACATTTCTCGCAAGGTTAGGAAAAAAAAATATATATAGCAAAAAATAGGAAAATAAACAGAAGTGCACTTTGAAAAAGAAAAAAGAAAATAAAACGCTTACCACGTGCACTTTATATTATTTTTTTTTCCCTAATAAATTCCTGTCCTCAGACAACAGCCTTCTGACTGAATGAGCAATCGATGTGGGAGCGTGTTTGCCGCAGCAGACTAAACAGGGCAACAACATCATTATCCATCATTTCGAAGATATAAAAGTGTAAAAANTCAGGCAGGGCCGAAAACCTCTTGTAGCAGTGGTGTGTTCGTGTTGCCATGGGTGGCGTTCGGGAGAATAACTGCTGACATCACCACATATAGGGGGAAATGACAAATGGAGGCTGAGCACATCTGAGGTGCTCCGGGGGACACCGGGGAATGGACAAATTGCCAATGACATGGGATCCAGTTGAAGTTCTAACGGAAGCAAAGGGGGTAAAAAAAAAGAAAGAAAAAAAAAAAAAAGTGAATTGAAGGCAAAGAGCCCAGAATAGACGCTCTGCCTCCAACATTTCCATCATCTCTCCGCCACACGGGAGACTGAAGGCTTCTGCATAAATAAAACCCTACATGAAGATTGGCACGCCATTAAACTCCACTGCCGCCGCAGTCGCGGTGCACACGGGAGCAGCTGCTAATGCGTTGAACAGCACTTCTACCTTACCTACCGTACAGTACCGGTACCTACTGTGATTTGGCGTAAAATGTCTCACAAATGTACGCAAAAAAAGAAATACTATTTCTTTCGATTTGTTATGGTGGCATTTTATTATTGGGAAATAATAAATCCATATTTAGTGAGAACGTTGTCGTTGTGTGACACATTTGAAGACGCGTTTAGTGTAATGTATATATAAATATATTTACATATATACAAACATATATTTATCAATATACACATACACATGTATACATGGATACATATATTGACATTTTCTTAATTTAATTAAATTTACAACTTATTGTGATACAGACATATATATATACACATATATACATATATTATATGTATGTATGTAATCATATATATTTGTATATATATGATTACATATCCTGGTTCGTTTGTATCTTTCTAATCCAACAATATTCATAAAGACATATTTGTATCATATTTAGGAATATATGGAATATTGATTTCAACTAATCACGATTAATCATGTTCACATCATTATTAACAAATAATCATGATTAATTGTTTGACAGCCCTTTGATTTTGGTAATTGTTAGTTTGATGTTGATAGTGGCAATAACAATTAATGAGTAATTGATTGAGTCATGGTGAAATATCAAACAACTGTCAAACGACTGATTATGATTAATCGCAATCGTAATTAAGGTGGCAGTGGTGTGTCGGAGTTCCAACGCTGCTATTAATGCAATGGGTTTTTTTTTTTTGTTTTGTTTTGTTTTGTTTTTTTCTCCACCAGAACTCGTCCCAGTCAGACTACGATAACACGTGACGACCAGACACGACGAGCCGATGCAGACGGACAAGAGCAGCAAATGAAATGTAAGTGAGAGAGTAGCTCATCGTACACACTGATGGCTTTCCTCATCGCCGCCAAATTGGGATGGATCAGTGTGTGCTCCAGCCCGCTGAACAAACCACAGGGGAGAGGGAGAATTCCAGGATTTCCTGAATGTGTAGGAAAACCTCTGCAGTATACAGTTTCACTTGGATGCACCTCAGAGTACTGCATGGTTGTACACGCAGTGAGTTTCAATCAGACGGCCATTAAAGTTGATTTACCAAATGCGAGAAAAAGCAAAGAAATAAAACTCTGTAGTTTCTGTTGTAAAACTAAATATAATATCCAATATACAGTGTGTATTGTGAGACGTGCTCTTGCCGAATGAGAAGATGATTCGGAGTCAAAGTTAAGTGTGTGATGGAAGAGTGGATAGATAGATAGATAGATGGATAGATGGATGGATGGATAGATAGATGGATGGATGGATAGATAGATAGATAGATAGATAGATAGATAGATGGATAAATGGATAGATGGATGGATAGATGGATGAATAGATAGACAGATGGATGGATAGATGGATAGATAGATGGATAGATAGATGGATAGATAGATGGATAGATAGATG